TAACAACCTACGATCATAACTCTTGCTGAGTTTGGTAAGATTCGAGAAAGGCGTTTCTGGTGATGTATGTAAATGGTTTCCATATGTACACATGTACATTTAAAAGCACCACAAGGTTATGCTTGCTCTGATCTTTACATCTCTTGTTTTGTATTTGGCACCTTCGGCTGTAAATGCGATGAAAGACATTTTTTGCAAGTCTAATGCCATGAAAAACTCTGATTGCTTCCTCTGGTCGGGGATCAGTTGTCCTCATGTAGAGCGTTTATACAGTAAGTGATGGTAGAAAAGAGAAGGATATGGATGAATTTAACTTGACAACTAGAGTTCTGATGATACTCTGGTTGAGAAAAGAAAAAAAAGACCTAATATTTGGTCTTTAGTACCAACTTTGTCATGAGATCATGACCTGAAGAGTAGAAACCTGGATAAAAAATCTGAGATGATTTTCCTCCATAGGGTTTCTGACCCTACATAATTCCCACATAATTAAAACGTGATTTTCTGTTTTATAGAAAAAAATAACCCACCCTCGGCATTAACAGACGGTGAGGCGCCTCATGGGGGCCCTAAGGAAGTTTCTAGATACATCCCACTGAGAGCAGACCCTGGGGAAGAACTACCTGCAGAGACTTTGAACATCTAGAGAACTATAAATAATAGAGAGTGTTGATGGGGAGGGTTTTTTTGGAGTTCGCAAAACTTAAAATCAAACTTTGTGACACATTTGAGTTTTTCCTTTGGTTATAGTCCATTAGCCTGCCACTGTGAGGGAAATACTTGTTATCTTTGAGCACTGGCTAAATACTGGTTGCTGAGCATTATGGTGCCATCGGTTTTCTTTAAAATAAATTTTGTTACATTTTTGTTTCAGGTGAAGAATATGTTTCGTAAATGGAAATTTGAGAAATAAAAACATGATTCGTTGATGGAGTTTTGGTTTTAAAAAAAATGCAACCAAAAATGAAATATTTAAAGACTTCTTAATCATATAAAGGTTTTGAGAGTCAGTTTGCTGTTTTGTCAAATTCTGTTTTTCGAAAATTGAATTCTAGATTTTATATTAAAATTTTCTTGTTTTTCAAATTTGATTAATATATTTCCATATTTTATATTTCGGATTTTTTTTTCTTATTTCTCTTTAAAAAATTTAGTTTAACAGATCACATTCTCTTCACTTCAACCCCAATGCAAAAACTCAACTCTTCACCTATAAAAATGTTGTTGCTACAGTTTATGCTGCAAAATAGAAAATATAAAAAAACTTACAATTTATAAAATAACATTCTTATAAAATTAAATTAGAAAATAAATACTTCTAAAACATAAAATCTAAAATTAATTTGATAAAATAAAACAATTACTGAGACGTTACTCTTAATTCTACCTGGAGAGATTCACACAGAGAAAAGCTTCAATTAGAAAATATTCAATTTATTTATACAAGTAACACAGCTGGTTTTCCTTAGATAGAAATATGTTGAAGAATTTGACTAATTGCAAGGATTTGCTGACTCTCTGCAATGCCGCACACTGAGCATGCATTTAGCGACAGTGGAGAGGAAAACTCCCTTTTAACAGGAAGAAACCTCCAGCAGAACCAGGCACAGTGTGAGCTGAGGCTGACTGGGGTTCAAGGAGACAGAAGCATAAAGACATACATGAAATAAGTTCTTTGGCGCTCGGGCCCCGGCTGAAGACTTCAGTGCTGTGAATCAACGTACGCTCAGATGAGTGACCTACAAAAGGATTAGAGTAGTCTTTCCCCTGGGGCCTGGACACTGGTGGTGGAATAAGCCAGAGGATGAGTGGGACTGAGAATGAGGGAGAAGATGACGTAGAGGAGGAGGAGGAAAGTTCACTTGTGTGTAGGAGAGAGAAGCTGGATGGAGATCTTGAATGATGATTGGCTTCGGAGAAGGTGTGGCCCCCGAGCTGATTGCCTGGAGCTAAATGAAGGAGATCTTGAATGATGATTGACTTCAGAGAAGGTGTGGCCCCCGAGGTATCACTTTCATCCTGAAATGTTCCATAAAGCTAAATGCTAATCCTGCTAATATTAGTGATTCAGTACATTGCATATTAAAAATCACTCAAGCCAAACCTCTAACTTTACTCTGTGCAGGGGGAAGGAACAAAAGGCTCCTAACTGGGGGTAAATTAACAGCTTGAATAAAGAAAAAGCTGGAAAATTGATCCCCAAACACTCACTACCTAAATGTGTCTGCTTCAACCACAAACTGCATCCTGGACTATGTGGACCATGTTGGACTTATCTAAGAAAATATGAAAAACTTTGTTTTTTTTTCTAATAAACTCAGTTTATCTGTATTGAACCTTTTAATGTCCACTCTGGATAATGTTCGGTGAAATAATGCAGTGATTCAGCATTGGGTTTTATGCATGGCCAACCTGCAGCTATAAAGGCCTCTCAGTTTTCGCTGCACCCTTGCAAACACAGAACGCTGTGGCTTCTCTTCCTTTCACTTTCCAGACATTCATTCCAGCCATTACTTTATCCCTCCACTGCATCTGATGACTGATTGTTTCCATGTGGGCCTCTTAGACCCATAATACCAGCTTGTCACTTCCTCAGACGTGAACATACCTGAATGACCTAAAGGTTCCATCAGAAGGCAGCAGTTGTAATTGATTTTTTCTCCATCTCTGAATTTTTTAGTGTCTGCTCTCATCTTGGAACGCTTTTTGGGACTTTAGTGCCACGGCTGTCATATTTTGGTAATCTTCTTTACTTTTCACAGACGGCATTTCATGGCGTTAATGCAGGTACTGGAAGAACTTACTGTGAAAGAGTGAAGGGAAGCGTTTCCTCCTGAGTTTCTCAAATAGAATTCAAGTCATATATTTATAACATGTCAGCTCCATTGACTGGTTGTTCAATGGAGCTGGAAATAAGGTGCTTGTTCTAGAAGTCCAGCCCATTTGTTCCCAGGTACATAGAGATGAATCAAGGCCTTAATGCTCAGAGTTCTGCAACCTTTTACTTCCAAAGTGCCTTTTTTTTCCATTCAGTCCAGGGAAATAAAACCAGCCTAGAGCCGAAACTGTTAAATTACCCTTTTTGATTAAAGAATAAAAACTCATGATTATTAATAAACATCTACAAAAGCTAATTTATTGTCATTTTCAAAGGTTGAGGAGTATAAATACCTTGGTGTTCACTTGGACAACCAACTAGACTGGAGATGCTACTTTTCAGCCATCTACAAGAAGGGACAGAGCAGATTGTACTTCCTGAGGAGGCTTAGATCCTTCAGTGTTTGCAGCAATATGTTACATATCTCCTATCAGTCTGTTGTAGAGAGTCTGATATCATCCTCCATCCTTTGCTGGAGTTACAGCATCAGAGCTAATGATTTAAACATTTCAGCAAGGCCAGCTCTGTTCTGTTCATAAAGTGAAGAAAATTTTTAACTACAGTGATCATCCTCTTCAGAAGATTCAGTCAGAGGCTTTACCTGATCTGGTGCAAGACAGACCACTACAGAAGATCATTCCTGCCTACAGCTATCAACACCTACAACGCCTGGTAAAAAAAACAAAACAAACAAAACAAAAAAAAGGCATATGAATTCCTGCAATGTATAATTTCCCTTTGGGATTAATAAAGTATTTTTTAAATTTAAATTGAAAACAATACAACTTAAAAAAAAAAAAAAGAAAAGAAAAAAGGGCAAAAAGATTTGTTGAACATTAAGTCAATAACTTTTGCATTTTTTCATGTAAAGTAATAGAGCAGATTGTCTTCATTTCAGTTTTCTTGATGCTGATAAATTAATCTGAAATAGTTGGATCTGTTAAGCTATGGTTCTGTTAACTTTCAGCATGAATCAGAGTTTAGTTTCCGAAAGACAAAATATGTTCCTCTGATCATACAATCTTGGCTGAGAAGGAATATAAAATGATCAGCTGGTTTATTTTCTAATTAAAAATCTATTCAGTTCAACCGGATTCACTGTAATCTAAAGAGCCCAATCCTGATGCTCAGCTGTAGCGACCTGAATGACCATAAACCATAAAAACAAAGATTATACTGGCCTGTTAAATAAATGCTGTCAGATGCAGTGCTAACACTGTAACCATAGGATTACTCCGACTGTAGCTGCGCCACATGTTGTGGTTGGGATGTTACTGTAGCTGACCTAAATCTTTACTCCCAACAAGCTTTCATCTTCTCTAAGAGAAAGCTAAGAGGAACATGTATTGTTTCTGTATTCCTCTTTTATGCCTTCAGTTCCATTAAAAATGGCAGGAATTCATATTTTTTATGCTCAAACCCAGAGATGTGGCCCTGCTAATCACTAATAGCATATATGGTCGACCTATATACAATTATCTGCATTAATGCAGCACAATCCTGCTGTAAAAAACCGAAAGACATCATGCTCCCATTTCTGGATACCATTCCAGATGTCTTAATCTGCAATATTTTTACCACAGCGACAAAATGCATCACTTGCCTCCAATATGTGAGACTGCCTGCAAGATCCCATATTGGGGGATGATAATAGGTTGTTTTTTCCCAGTATGTGAGGCATCCCCACTGTCCTGCAGGTTTAAGAGCTTTTCCTGCTTTAGCACAGCTGATTATGATGATTGCAATAGAGCAAAACCCTTTTAATCAGCTTTCAATTAAAATCAGCTGTGCTGGAGCAAGAAAACCTCTAAAACCTGCAGGACAGCGGCCCTCGAGGACCGACTTTGGGGATGCCTGCTACTAAAACAGGCTAAACGTTCGGCATACCTACAAATGATTGTTTTTTTTTTTTCCAACATATTTGAAGATGCATAATAAATAAAAATGTTTTTTATGAGATCAAACGTTGTATCAGAATGTGGAAAAGCACTGGGTGATTGATCCAGCGATTCATTCCGTACATGCTGATAAATCTACACCGCACGCATTTAGCTGTATTTACTAGAAATCATTTATTTAAATTAATTAAAAATTATCATATTTTTGTTTGATTTCTTTACAGTTCTGGCAGTGGAACCGGTGGCCCAAGGCGTGGAGCAGATCCCTGAAGATATGAACTGGTCCTACTCAGGTCTGTTCTTTTCTGATGGTTTCAAAATTTGTAATCCTAGATGATTCTTTATGGGAGTGAAACACTAAAGCAGTTGGACAGCAGTGTGGATATCTGATGAATTGCAGGTATTATCCAGTTGGTAAACGTTGATCTGCCTCGGACCATATGGGTCCATAAGTTTAGATTACTCAGCAGGGAGCCCCTGTGGCGTTAAGCTACGATCAGACAGAAACAAAGAGTGGACGCAGACGGGCAGTAATGAGCCCTAAGGGGGAGATTAGAGTTTTACTAAGACATGCAGGCCATAGCTGAGCTAAAACACCAGCTATTAGGGTTATTAACCTTCACCTCTAAGGATCATGTTAGCACTAACATGCTAAACTGTATCATGATTTCAAAGGATCTCACAGTAACTATTAAATCATAATGGCAAACCAGTTCATTTATATTTAATCCTTTAGATTAGTCACACTGAGATACAATGAGAAGTGAGTTAAAAGCAAAACACCTCTATAGACTTTTAAAGGAAATCTATACCTGCTGGGTAATATTTTGCATTTTTAACTCAAAATACAACAAAATTAAATAAAGAAATAACAGTAACTATTATGTATTAAAGTGTAGAATTAAATATATTTGCTTTTTTCCCCCCCTAAAATATTTTTAGGAATTAACTGCAGTAATCTGTGCACGAATCTATGGAGATATTTCTGTGTTTTGAATTAAATTCATGAAAGAAAGCAATATGAAAGAGGAAAATAAAACAAATATATAAAAACATTCACAACGGTAGCAAAAACTTATTTGAGACTGAAAGGTATAGTGGAGAATGTTCTTTTTCCGGGTGGATCATCACAATAAGTGGTCCTCCTAATTGTCAACTTAAGACTGTCCTATGCACTCGTCCCCATTTTCACTTACCGGTGGTGAGTCTGTCCTAGTGGAAAAAAATGCAAATCTTCTTTTGGAAAGTAAGCTTGTATGAGCGATGCAAACAGCAACTTTTAAACAGAGCGTGCATGAGGAGAAATGGGCTCGTGCACGCTCTCACATGCGTTTAATAGGCGTTCACAGAGCAGGTACAGGGTGGTGCATGTGCTTTTTTTGTTTTTTAAAGAGATAAAGAGAAATAAGAGATAAAATATGAAATCTTGCTCAAAAGTAGTTTTTTTTTTTTACTTTTTCTCTCGAATATTTTTTTTTTCTGAATTCAGAGTGAAAACATTTAATGTCAAACATAGATTTCTTTCTCAAAACTTTTTTTCTTCTCTAAATATTTGGTCTTGAATCAGGATTTTTATCCTGAATTGAAAAATGTTTTGTGTGTGTTCATGCTCCTATTGGTCAGTCGCAAGAGAACTGACAGCATAATGAGTCAACTCAGAAATAAAAGGGAAAAATACAGCTTCATTCATACCCATAACAGATATGGAAAACATTTTAAGAAAATAAATTAACTTAACTAAGCTGGATCATTATTACAAGTTCTGAAATGGGTCAAGAAAGGGCCCCCATGTTTCTTTAAATTTACCAGTTGAGTTTTGAACAGAGCATCTAATTCGTTCCAGTTTCAGGCACGACATGAGGTCATATAGCCACTGCTTGTGAGTTGGAGGAGCTGCACCTTTCCTCCTGGTGAGAACTGTACGCCTTGGTAACAATGAGCAAAATGCCAGTGCCTGTCGTTTAGAGGCTGGTAAAGGCGACCCCTCACCACTGAACCCACAAAGAGCCAGAAGGGGACCAAGCGTTAGCACCACTCCAGCCAACCTGGACATAGTACAGAAACGTCTGTCCAGAGCTGACCCAGAGCGGGGCAGGACCAGTACATACACTCACCGGCCACTTTATTAGGTACCCCATGCTAGTAACGGGTTGGACCCCCTTTTGCCTTCAGAACTGCCTCAATTCTTCGTGGCATAGATTCAACAAGGTGCTGGAAGCATTCCTCAGGGAGTTTGGTCCATATTGACATGATGGCATCACACAGTTGCCGCAGATTTGTCGGCTGCACATCCATGATGCGAATCTCCCGTTCCACCATATCCCAAAGATGCTCTATTGGATTGAGATCTGGTGACTGTGGAGGCCATTTGAGTACAGTGAACTCATTGTCATGTTCAAGAAACCAGTCTGAGATGATTCCAGCTTTATGACATGGTGCATTATCCTGCTGAAAGTAGCCATCAGAAGTTGGGTACATTGTGGTCATAAAGGGATGGACATGGTCAGCAACAATACTCAGGTAGGCTGTGGCGTTGCAACGATGCTCAATTGGTACCAAGGGGCCCAAAGAGTGCCAAGAAAATATTCCCCACACCATGACACCACCACCACCAGCCTGAACCGTTGATACAAGGCAGGATGGATCCATGCTTTCATGTTGTAGACGCCAAATTCTGACCCTACCATCCGAATGTCGCAGCAGAAATTGAGACTCATCAGACCAGGCAACGTTTTTCCAATCTTCTATTGTCCAATTTCGATGAGCTTGTGCAAATTGTAGCCTCAGTTTCCTGTTCTTAGCTGAAAGGAGTGGCACCCGGTGTGGTCTTCTGCTGCTGTAGCCCATCTGCCTCAAAGTTCGACGTACTGTGCATTCAGAGATTCTCTTCTGCCCATCTTGGTTGTAACGGGTGGTTATTTGAGTCACTGTTGCCCTTCTATCACCTCGAACCAGTCTGGCCATTCTCCTCTGACCTCTGGCATCAACAAGGCATTTCCGCCCACAGAACTGCCGCTCACTGGATGTTTTTTCTTTTTCGGACCATTCTCTGTAAACCCTAGAGATGGTTGTGCGTGAAAATCCCAGTAGATCAGCAGTTTCTGAAATACTCAGACCAGCCCTTTTGGCACCAACAATCATGCCACGTTCAAAGTCACTCAAATCACCTTTCTTCCCCATACTGATGCTCGGTTTGAACTGCAGGAGATTGTCTTGACCATGTCTACATGCCTAAATGCACTGAGTTGCCGCCATGTGATTGGCTGCTTAGAAATTAAGTGTTAACGAGCAGTTGGACAGGCGTTCCTAATAAAGTGGCCGGTGAGTGTATAAACCAATGTAGCTACAGCAATTTTACATTTATCACAGTAATCTGACCAAAATCTGCCCAAATTGGCTGAATATATCAAGAGCAAAAGGCAAAGAAGTTGATGGTTTGGAAATAAAAAGTAGAAGACACTATTGGAATACAGACACAGAATAATTTAGAAAGAAATCTCTCATATTCATCACCTTAACTATGTTTTGTATTGAAGATCATGTTAGTTCTAAGTTGAAAGTGTTTAATTCATTTGGTTCTATAAATAAAAGTTTGAAGTTTTTTCTTCCCCATTCGTTTTTTCTTCCCGAGAAGAGATCTAGGTAAAAACGCTTTAGATAACTCCTCATAATGTATATTAAATAACCATGAGACAGGCAGGTATTAATAGTGTTTAACAGAATTGCACATCATAATCCAAACAGTTAACAGAAATGCTATGTTCATGTTGAAGCCATCATTCATAAACAACCAAAAGTACAAGGTCCAGATTTTAATTAATGTTGTATTTAGTATTAGTCACACCTATTTATTTAATGTGGTCACACCCCAGCGAAGTCTGTCAGTTCATTTCATATATTAACCATATTAATTATTTTTGTTTTAACCAAATCACATAAGCCCCAAATAATAATTTTCACTCTGGGAAATATGAAAAAATGCGCATGATTGGACAGTAAACAGAATTATAACAGATCAAAAGCCTGTTCCTTTCGTGAAAACAAGTCATTTAGAGTAAAGTTTAATGGTCTTTAAGCCAAATTATTGACCCAACCTTGGCTTCTAAGGCAGTGCATCAATGCTTCTTCAACCTCGTACTCGTACTCGTACTCGTACTCGTACTCGTCGTCTCCCGCTTTATCCGGAACCGGGTCGCGGGGGCAGCAGGCTAAGCAGAGACTCCCAGACTTCCCTCTCCGCAGACACCTCCTCCAGCTCTGTTGGGGGAAGCCCTAGGCGCTCCCAGGCCAGCCGAGAGACATAGTCTCTCCAGCGTGTCCTGGGTCGTCCCCTGGGCCTCCTCCCGGTGGGACATGCCTGGAACACCTCCCGAGGGAGGCGTCCAGGGGGCATCCGAAGAAGATGTCCGAGCCACCTCAACTGACTCCTCTCGATGTGGAGGAGAACCGGCTCTACACTGAGCCTCTCCCGAATGACCGAGCTCCTCACCCTATCTCTAAGGGAGAGCCCAGCCACCCTGCGGAGAAAGCTCATTTCAGCCGCTTGTATCCGGGATCTCGTTCTTTCGGTCATGATCCAAATTTCATGACCATAGGTGAGGGTAGGAACGTAGACCGACCGGTAAATTGAGAGCTTTGCCTTTTCGCTCAGCTCTCTCTTCACCAGGACAGACCGGTGCAGCGTCCGCATTATTGCAGCAGCCGCACCGATCCGTCTATCGATCTCCCGCTCCATTCTTCCCTCACTCGTGAACAGGACTCCAAGATACTTGAACTCCTCCACTTGAGGCAAGGACTCCCCTCCAACCCGAAGGGGACAAGCCACCTTTTTCCGGTCGAGAACCATGGCCTCGGATTTGGAGGAGCTGATTCTCATCCCGGCCGCTTCACACTCGGCTGCGAACCGCCCCAGCGCACGCTGTAGGTCTTGGCAGGAGGGAGCCAGCAGAACTACGTCATCCGCAAAAAGCAGGGACGAGATCCGCTGTTCCCCAAACCAGACCCCCTCCGGTCCTTGGCTGCACCTAGAAATCCTGTCCATAAAAGTTATGAACAGGACCGGTGACAGAGGGCAGCCCTGTCGGAGTCCAACATGCACCGGGAACAGGTCCGACTTAATGCCGGCAATGCGAACCAGACTCCTGCTCCGCTTGTACAGAGAACGGATGGCCCCTAATAAAGGGCCCCTGACTCCATACTCCTGGAGCACCCCCCACAGGGCAGCACGAGGGACACGGTCGAATGCCTTCTCCAAGTCCACAAAACACATGTGGACTGGTTGGGCAAACTCCCA